CGATGAACTGTGTCGAATCCACATCAAAGAGAGATACGCCAAAGATAAATAATCTCTTCCAAGATTTTCACGATGGTGCTGGAATCCATCTTTGACGCAGATGGTGACATCATGATCGACGGAGAATGGCCCACATATCTGAATTTTGCGGACGACGTCATCATCGTTGCCAAAGGTGCGACTGAACTCCAAATAATACTCTGCACTTGCACGAGGACTCACACATCAGCGGTCTGGAGATGAACATCTCCGAGACGAAGTGAATGGGCGACACACACTGCCACGCACTTACCATCGTCACATACGGCGAAGAAATGGACAGTTTCCGTGGATACGTCTGGAAAGTGTTGGTCACCTAATTGACTCCAATAAAAACATTAGCGGTGAGATCAGTCGAAGAAGGAAGACGCCATGGGTGAGTTTCAATCACATCACAACATCGCTGCTGGATAACGAACTGCCCATGTCCAAGAGGAAAGAATTCTTCGACTCTGTTGTCCTACCGCCATGATTTACGGTGCAGAGTGTTAGTCTGACACCAAAGCTGAGGAAAGGAAATTAGTAGTAACACAAGGGTGATGGAAACAAGAATATTCGTGGCTTCACCTCGATGTTTTGTTCCAAGTGTGATAGTTCGTTCTCTGGTACGATTGTTTGACTAAAACCAGAAGATACGTAGGGCTGGCCATCGAGGCGACTCCTCTGAAGATGGACTTCCCGAGTTATCAGCTGGATACTCCTCAGCAACACGCGGTCATCAGCCGTGCACCAACACGCTGGTATGGTCAACACTGGAATCAAAGGGCACAGCACCGAGAACAGTAACGGAACGCCGACTTGCATCTATGGCGCAGAAGTTGACGAAAACAATTAGGTTGTAAATACGTTGACAAGTAAATAGCTATCAAAATCTGAATTTACATCATATGACTGATCCACTGGTTTTTGAATTCTTAGAAATCCGCTTACGCATGGCACAATTGCGTGATATCCAATCATCTGTAATGTACGGGAACATCTTGTATCATTTAATTGAGAAGAATAGTG